AGTCTTCATTGGCAGGACTGTTCACGAACTTGACCTCATGTCTAATGAGCCTTCAACGTCGACGATCCACGAAAACATACTAGGAGCCTAGGGGGAGGGGTAAATCGACTGGAGCGCCATGGAGTGACAGTGAGCCAGATAACGGACACTCCGGGGGTCGGCTACAATCCGTTCTGGCACTCCAACTACATCTGTCGTCATGTCAAAATCCTCTCCCTGGCGGCTCAGTCCTATAAGTGGTTAAAGTCAGTTTCACGGGTTGTTGACCCTCGAAACGACACAAAGGTGGATAAGGTAGTCATATGCAAGAGTTGAACCGATTGACCTTGTCTGCACCTCATTACTGCGACATGATTCGCCCCTATCATTGGACCTCTCATCAATATGTGTATTGATGGAATGTTCCAACTAACGAGCTTCTAAATACATTCCAGTTGCACTCCAAGTGCTGGTGAGTTCTACAAGCAATTTTCCATCGAGTGCAATAACCAGACCATAGTCTCAGAGTTTAAGAGATAATTCTTTGAGTCTACCTGATCGAGGAGTTACTGCGATCTCCTCCTCTAAGACACAAGCAGGGGTGACTTTTAAGCCATTTTCTTCCTGTGATATCGAGATGTTCAATGTTCACCTAGGACATCTTTATAACTTCCTTCACAGAAGGATTAGTACCAAATTAAGGTAGCCTGCGCAACTTTAAGGAGTTCCGTGAGAGTTCAATAGCCAATCAAAGGGAGTGATAGGGTTTATACCTTTTTGTAATTCGATCTTCTGCGCCCTCGTATTGCCCCATCCCTACAACGCCTATCAACACTGGTTCCGTATTACAGAGTTCTGAAAGGGCGGCTTCCTTGGTGAGCCCTATAGTAGACTGTTACCCTTACAGACACCACAGGACGGAGAAGTTACGATGTAACCTTGATGAACCATTCCATCCATTGAGACCCTCTTTCCTTTTACAGATTTGACCACCTCATCTGAAAATCAGTACTCAAAATCCCCTCGTCAGGAGTTACCCGATCCTTCCAGTTCAAAAATCACCGATTATCTGCCCCAAAAAGCCACCTTCAAAACCTCCACCACTAGTATCCTGCCCAACAATAACGACAACGTGTCCACGACAGGCGCCTACACGACAAATGCTGATTCCACTCGGCCGCCCCCACCAACGCCGTTCAAACAGAATTCTTACTCCCCAGATTCTGCACCCGACCTGCTCAGCTCAGAGGCGTTGATGCGTCAGACTTTGCAGCAGCAGCAACAGCAGCAGCAATCGACTCAACAGCCTCCCTCCTCCACCACCTCCTCGTCCTCTTCCTCCGAATCCTCATCCTCCTTCTCCTCGGAGTCCAGTCCGGGCGATCATCTCTCCTCCTCGGCATCGCTCGTAGTTGCGTCATCAGGTGAAGGACCGAGAAAACAGATAGTCGCCAGTAGCGGTGAAGGCGGCCAAGCCCAGTCAACACCCATGCATCATCAGCATAATCACC